TTGATTTCATGTAAAATTTGTCTCTAATAGCCTGCATGTAAAAAGCCTCTGCATAAAGTATATGTTCAATTTGCTTTCACTTAAGGTTTCAGACGACAATCAAAAGTAGTCAGCTAGAGTGAGAATTTCATACTATTTCTGAGTATATATTACGAATCACTTGTGAGTTAAAGTTAATCTAGTAAGAGCGAATCTTCGATGGAAACCAGCACGAATGTTTGTATAAAGGACTAGTTTTAAAGGTCTAAGGAACCATGTTTACTCATTTTTCGGACATTAAGCTCGATTTGAAGATAATCGGACATCTTTTCGAATATATCCTTTGAACTTGGCTATTTGACTATAAAAAAATACCGAAATAAATTGAAAAAGTCGTTTATGCCACGAAAAATAAGCTTTTTTGATGATGTACAATTTCTGAACAAGTTATTTCGATATAGCTTTTCCTTTCTACTTTTGTAGAGAATTTCATAGTGTATAAAATCATGGATTTCAATAAGTAATATCTCAGAACAGGCACAATCTGAGAAACAGCTCTCCCAATGCCGTTCTCTAGATGAGATTACATTTTTCGAAATAAGCAATTTTTTAAAACTGCGATATTTATAATAGAATAGATTGTGATACTTTTCAGCAATATGTCAGTAGTGAAGCATCTACAAATAAGCGTATAAGAAAGCCTTCCTATAATTAAAATTGAAGCACTTTTAATCAATGTACAATATTCAATACATACAAAATTCTGTTCAAATCTCTTTTTTGGTCCCCAACGAAGCTTTGTTCTCACTGAATTAACTTTAACTCAGAAAAAAATTCTGGATATAAGTTTAGAAAGAGCTCGAAATTCTCATTCTAGCTGATTACTTTTGATTGTCTGATATCTACTTACAAATGTAAGGCACGAAGTTCTTGTTCCCCAAAAAAATTTATTTTGATGCTATTATTGATTTTATTTTTCATCTGAACTCGATATTTGAGGGATGTGTTGTAACAATTGTTGTCTATATGTTTATATAGAAAGTATGAACTCATGCTGCTTCAGCTCACCAAGAAACGTGCCAACTTTGAGGCTACAACGCACAGAAACTCCTTCTCCGTGAAATAAAATTGAGTATTCCAGCCTAGGTCTTCCCTTCTACTCGACTCTCTCGTATTTCACTAGAACAGTTGCTTTTTAAAAATTGCATAATAATTTCAATAGTTGTATCTATTCATAAATACACGCATCTCGTACATCATTTTTGAAACTCTTACAAGTGTTAGATATCTTTTTATGATAATAAAGCTAAGTTGAAGAGAAATTATCTGGAGGCAAAAGTCTACTATTCACCGAAAACGCAAAAACTTTCGAAGCAGAAAAAGAAAGAAACTTCTATGCTTTTATTTCACAAAAAATACAGAAAAAAAGCTGAAAAAGAATTTTTCCAACAGTTAAGTAATGACTAATTCTTTTCATCATAAAGCATGGCAGCAAACGTTTTGAATCAATAACCTTTACAAGAGTTACATGATAGTAGATTTAAATGGCCGAATGATATGCAAGCTATTCGAAAACTCTATAGAACCTCATAGAAGAGATTCATACATAACAGCAATAAAACTACGTTTTCATTGCTGAGAATGAGCTGTTGTCGTCGATTTAATAAAAGCATAAGATTTTCCGAAGATGCAGCCAAACGGAAAGAAACTAACTGATATATTGTCAATCAAGGCCTCCCGGAAATATAGCTAAAGCAATATTTCGATATCATTCGAAAAGATATATACAGAGGAGAGAGTAATTTGCCGATCCAGAAAAACCTAATTGATGAGGTTTTTTTTCAGATGTCATAACTTATGCAATGTTCTTCCATTGCAGCCGGAGACACTGGGTATATTTTAAATGTTACTTGTAGCGCTGATAACAGTAAGGAATCGAGCTGTTTCTTGCTGACACTTGACAATTTTTTTCGGATGTCAGTTCAAAAATGGCGGCTACTCGAAGAAAAGTTTTTCATACGTTTGAAGGTGATCATCTCTTTTCTCTCGATGTACCAGTTCATATGACCTACAGTTTTCGCGCTAACCGTTGTCTTTGATGTCTATTTATAGACATTATTGAAACTATAAACTCGATCATTTGATTTTACTGCTACCTTAACGTTATTGAACAGTATCCAAAATAATCGCAATTCAAGAAGAAAGGTGAAGAAACAGAAATTTTTATAGACCATTTCATCTCAGTGAGATATAGTTTTTTCAAAATACTATCCCGTTCATAATTTTCTGATGTCGAACAAACATATTTCGTCCGAATCTGTTCAAATATAGGCAGAATCGGAGATAGCTTGCATAGAAAATATTCATAGTCTTCTGTAATAAGCCCACATAAAATCTCAGATTTCATCACGAAGAAAAACGTTCTACTTTAGAATACTTTAATATACTTTTCTCTCAAAACTATTCTTACTTTGATAAATTTTTTGTTAATGTTGAGAGGAGGACGAAATAACTTCGATGTGCCTTTTATGTATAGAAATTCTACGAAAGTTTTACTTCCCCAAGTAACAATTCTAAAAATAATGATTGTGGTGTCTTGATCAAAGTGCGACGAATCTGAAATTCTGCAAGACACTATTTTAAAAAATATTGTTAGAAAACATGTTGAAAGCGGTCCATCTGAAAGTATTCATGCAAGAGAATTGAAAACAAAAATTAATGTATTAATTTTGAGAAAAGTCAACAAAAGCTAACTAAGCAGAAGCTTTGATAAGCGTTTTAATATGCTGCAGTATGCGCAGTGTGTTGATCGGATATAGCATTATTGTCAGATATGTTGTGCAGGCTTCTCAACATATCAAACACATTTGTTTAATAGTTGAAAAATTGTTGAAATTACTCAGAATAGTTGCATTTTAATACGTATATTGACTGGATCGATTAAATAGAAATACTGCAGGAACAGTTTCTTGTAGAAACTCTCTATGGTTAGAGATATATTTATATGTTCATGCCAGGTATGTGTTCTTTCTTAAACATTGTCTCTTCTTAGATTGAAATGGTTACCATGGATAACAATGCTGAATCAATTAAGCGTTCGTTTCCTAAGAAAAGTGGGTTAGTTAGTTCAAACAACAAGCCAAAGACAATAGCAAATGCACAAAATGCAAGAAACGATCAGAATAATACTATCAATCGAATAAAAAACTACACGTTTCAACAGAATATGTATAACTTCTTCTTTTAATGTAAAATATCATGATTTATGCTCTTTCCTAGGAAATATTTTTACTTGTTAATGCTGAGTTTTATACCCAAGCCTCTCTTTATTTTGCCTATGATTACAAGTATACTTATGATCATAGGTCTACTGATAGTTTGTTTTACCGCACCGAAATCTTCAGGTACGTAGTTGTTGCTTTGTATTCTTCGTATTTAATACGATAAAAGTCCATAGTGAGTACGGTTCTGTTTTATCAGTATTCTGAGTTTGGGTTAAAAAAATTTGAATTGTAATAAGATATTTGATATCGTCATGTTCGAAGCAAATTATCAAGCAGGAAAAGAATAATAAACATTACAACTGCTTCACTTTTTTATTTTAAAATAGCAATGACGAATGCAAACCAATCAAGCTGATCATCATTGAAAGATCTAACGCTTTCTCCATAAGGCGCATTCTTTCATTTTGCTTATTGGTAGTGACTATAGGTTCCAAAAGAATTCCAGAAGGAATTTTCCCATTACCACTTTGTTCTAAAGAAAGCAGAACAATAACTTTCCCCAGGATTGAGATAATTGCGTTTTCTTTCATCTTTTTTTTTCATACATTAATGAAACAGAAATTTCACAAACTGTTTTTTTACCAGCTGATGTTACACATTGTTACTTGTTGCAGAAAGATCAGTCTTACCAAATTCAATGTTCTCGAATCACTTTTTCTATTATTGTTGGTGGTATTCTTTCACATTTCTGAATGGAAACAGAAGCTTATCCTGGATGCCTCTTTCTCTATCTCATCAACATATTTTGCAATATAGTAGAAGTGCTAAAGAATAACATAAAATACAGGCGATTTTCTCATAGAACGTGATAAGAGCAGATACTTCTCCTTCACGGAACACATCTTCTTTAAATTTTCTCACTTTATATTACTTGGAGACGACAGTAAGTAGTATATGTGTTCCATCTCTATCATCCTTCGTTTTGCTAGTATGTTCCGATATAATCATTTTACTTTTGTCTTTCTGTATGACTCATGTGTGTTGTATGTTATATTCACCACTGAGTTCTCATATCTTTATCATATCCTAGAGAATTATTTTCGTTACCACGGTTCAAAATAGTAAAATTTTGTATATTCATTATAAAGTTGAGAAAAATATTTATCACTATTTGTGATTAAACAGATCGATGTAAATCATTGATTGCTTACTGTACGAACAGCAGTAGAGATAAATAGTTGCGTGCTTGTCACTTAAAAACTATCGGTGAACATGCGTTGTCCATATGATGGAATTACTGACAAATACACTAATTATGGTAGATCGTCTTCATGCATCATTAGTCAGTCAGTAGATTCACATTCGCTTCCTCATCGTCACCATTTTGTTCATTGTTATTTTCAAGCATTTGTAGCAGACTTTGTTATAGTCTGTTTGTTATCCTAAATTACTAATCCAAAATACTGATCGGATCACTGAAAGTATTACACAACGGAACAGTTTTGATATCCATTTGATTCTGCAACAGTGTCGCACAGCACAGTTTTGAAACGAATTCTACAGTAAATGAGAAGATGAGAACAGAAAAGTCGCTTGATTGATGACTTTTCATAGTTAACTTTATCTGAATTCGAAGAAACCAAGCAGAGTTCTTTTAAAAGATAACGGTTATGAATTGTCTCTAAAAAGAGTCATATAATAACTACTGACAATACAGGATAGTAATTGTGATAATTCAAAACAACCTAGGATGAATAGTACTACTGGAACAAACAATCAGTCATCTCATTGTTTTTCATGTGTCGTTTAGTTCCAAAGTGCGGTCTCAATTTCAAACCAACGGCTCAAAAGCCAGTTGAATATAAGTATGGTCCACGATCTGTCGCCATCGGCGATTTCGACAATGACACCGTTTTGGATATGATTATTGCCAATCATATCGTGAACAAAATAGCTGTCTATTTGGGACATGGTGATGGTACTTTTAGAGATCCAACTATGTATTCAACAGGTTCCTACTCTAGTCCTTACATGGTCATAGTTGCTGATTTCAACAATGACAACCGATCGGATATTGCAGTAGCGAATTTTGGCACTAACAATATCGGGATCTTTCATGGATTTGGGAATGGTTCTTTTGCAAGTCAAATACAACTTTCAACAGGCTCATCTCGTCCGATAGCAATTATTGCCGTTGATTTCAACAATGACTCACTACTGGATATTGCCACTGCGAATTACGGAACTCACAGTATTAGTATATTCTATGGATATGGTCATGGAAATTTTTCGCCTCCAAATACGTATTCAACAGGTTATGATTCTCTTCCATCATCATTAGCTGCTGGAGATTTCAATAACGACAACTATTTAGATCTCGCCATTGCCAATTATGGCACGAATAATGTTGGCATACTTTTTGGAAATACCAACAGAACTTTTGAAAAACAAATCACGCTTTCAACTGGACTTGGTTCCCATCCATTCGCAATTGCGGTCGGCCATTTCAATGCCGACAACTTTCTGGATATCGCTATCGCGAATTCCGGAACACGTGAAATAGGTGTACTCTTAAACAATGGCAATAGAACTTTCGTTAATCAAGCCACCTATTCCAGCGGTTCTGCTTCTCCATATGCGATTGGCATCGGAGACTTCAATCAAGATAATCGATTGGAGATCGTCATCGCTAATAATGGCAATGAAAATATAGGTGTACTTCTCGGATATGGAAACGGCCATTTTGAAAATCCAATTATGTATTCAACTGGATCTTATTCTTCGATTTCCGTTGCTATAGGTGATCTTAACAAGGATCATCGATTAGACATTGTCGTCGTGAACAATGATACTGGTAGCATAGATATTCTCCTTGGTTATTTTGAGGGATTTTTAAATCAAACAAGGTATTCAGCTGGCTCTTCTCCACAATCTGTAGTTGTTGGTGATTTCAACAACGACACTCTACTAGATATCGTTGTCGCCAATTATTATAGCTATGATGTGAGTGTCCTTCTTGGAAATGGAGATGGTTCTTTTGAAAATCAAACAAAGTATTCAGCTGGCATTTATCCATATTCTGTAGTTGTTGGCGACGTCAACAACGACACTCAACTAGATATCGTTGTCACCAATTCGGGTAGCAATGATGTGAGTGTCCTTCTTGGAAATGGAAATGGTTCTTTTCAAAATCAAACAAGGTATTCAGCTGGCTCTCAGCCACAATCTGTAATTGTTGGTGATTTCAACAACGACACTCGACTAGATATCGTTGTCGCCAATTCTGGTAGCAATGATGTGAGTATCCTTCTTGGAAATGGAAATGGTTCTTTTAAAAGACAAACAAGATACTCAGCTGGCTCTTGGCCACGATCTGTAGTTGTTGGTGATTTCAACAACGACACTCAACTAGATATCGTTGTCGTCAATAGAGATAGCAATGACGTAAGTATCCTTCTTGGAAATGGAAATGGTTCTTTTAAAAGTCAAACAAGGTATTCCGCTAGCTCTTTTGCACAATCTGTAGTTGTTGGTGATTTCAACAATGACACTCTACTAGACATCGTTGTCGCCAATGCGTATAGCAATGATGTGAGTGTCCTTCTTGGAAATGGAAATGGTTCTTTTCAAAATCAAACAAGTTATTCAGTTGGCTCTTTGCCACAATCTGTAATTGTTGGTGATTTCAACAATGACACTCGACTAGATATCGTTGTCGCCAATTGGGATACCAATGATGTAAGTGTCCTTCTTGGAAATGGAAATGGTTTTTTTGAAAATCAAACAAGGTATTCAGCTGGCTCTCATCCACAATCTGTAATCGTTGGTGATTTCAACAACGATACTCGACTAGATATTGTTGTCGCCAATTGGGGTAGCAATGATGTGAGTGCCCTGCTGCAATATAACAGAGGAGCGATGGCATATAAAATGTCGTATGCATCTGGCGGTGGATCTAGCCTACAATGCGTAGTGATCGGGGATTTGAACAACGATACTAATCTGGATATTGTCTTAGCTAATTATGGCACTAATAATATCGGCGTCCTTGTCGGATATGGAAATGGTAGTTTTGAAAATCAAATGATGTTCAGCACTGGCGCAAATTCTCATCCGATTTCCATCGCGATTGGGGACTTCAATGGCGACCGCGTAGTGGATATTGCTGTAGC